CATGCCTATAATCACAGTACTCAGGAGGCTGAGGCAGGAAAACTGCCGCAAGTTTGAAGCCAGCCTGGGCTACAAAGTGAGTTCAAGGCCAGCCTGAACTGTTTAGTAAAGCCTTGTCTCAAAAGACAAAAAAGGGGGCTGGGGATTTAGCTCAGCAACACAGCACCTGCCTGGCAAGCGCGAGGTGGTGAGTTCGATTCCCGGTACCGGAAAACAAACAAACAAACAAACAAAAAACCAAACAATCAAAAAGACAAAAAAATAACAACCCAAGAACAAAGCTACCCCCCCCCAAAAAAAACCCCAACAAACAAAAAAATGAGCTGGTGGCCTATAACACACAGGCACAGGGTCTACATACATCCTGTTAGAGAGCTGTCTTTCACCTAGTGGGATAGGCCAAGGGGAACGAACCCCTGTGATCCTCCTGCCCTGCAGGTGACTGAGCTGCCTGGACCCAGGCTCCAGTTTTGTCTCAAGTAGGGGTTCCTGCCTGGCCTTAAGCTGCAGCTTTAGTCTCCTTGGTTTAATAGGCTGCCTTTGCAGTCTGTCACTTGCTGGGAGATGGGGCAGATCTAGAAAGAATTCTCCCACCAACAAATTCAGGCTAGGAGAGCCCAACATCCCACAGCCCCCAAGTTTCTGGGCACTGGCCATGACCATGGGTAAGCAAACCTGAGCAAAGCCCGCAGCCCACACTAACCAAGCCCTTGGTGCTGGAGTTTTCCCAAGGAGCCCCTGTTGTAGCTTGTGCCCTCAGGGTCCTGCTTGAAGCCTGGAGAAGTCTGGCCAGGCCTGCTTGCATCCCTGCTACTCCTCCCACCAGGTGTAGCCCTTCCCCACTGCCCACCAAGCCTAGGACAGGGCACCTGCTGGGCAGAGCGGATCATCCTGCGAGCTTCATCCTTGATACTGGGACTGTCAGGTGGCGGCGGCTGCACCAGTGTGGTGACCTCAGTCCCCTGGAAGCCGAAGGTCAGGGGCCAGCCCAGGTCAAGCTCAGGCACAGCCTGGTCTGAGTTCAGTGGCCAGTAGGTGCCAGAGGAGCCATCCATGTCCACATCAGGAGGGCTGCCTTCAGGGGGCTCACGGGCAACATGCTGTGGGGGCTGCAGATGGCGGCTCACGTGTTCTAGCTCCTCAGGGCATAGGAAGTCAGGAGCCCCCTCAGATGCCAAGAAACGGCTGTAGGCCTCTGGGCCACCCTCCGTCAGTGCATCCACTGCCAGGCGGTAGTATTCCTTGTAGTGTGGCGGCAGGTACCCAGGTGCCAGAGGATTGTCCCCCTGTGAGGAACTCTGGGAGCGGCGAGCCATGTTGTGTGTGGGGGTCTGGGGAAGGGAGCAGGGAGACATTAAATAGAGACAGGGACACCAGGGGCCCTTCCTCTCCCTTCCCACATGGATTCATCTTGTGGAAGAGGTGCCAGACTCTGAGCTGGAGTTCAGCCCAGGCCTGGGGGGCATCTGCAGTGTGTGGTAGGTCACAGGGATCCCACCCTGTCCCCTTTCCTCTGGCCTCACTGGCTGGGACCCCGCTGTCACCAGGTCCCAGGGACTGCCGGAATCCCCAGCTTCCAGGTGGGGCCTTTGGCTCTACTCCACCCCTCACTCAAGGTTACTTTACAATACTCATGGCCCCAGACATGTTTTTGCTTTGTGGGTCCCCTTTCTCTATAAAAATAGATTTAAAATATTATGGCTGTTGGTTCAAAGACAAATATAATCCAGGCTAGACTCACTATTATTATATTGTTTTGTTTAAGACGTTAGCCTTTTTGTGGGTCCATGATATGCCAACTGGACAAGTCGGTGCTGTCTCCACCGCCTAGGAGACCCAGGGCAGGTCACTGTGCCTCCCTGGTGTGTAACCTCCGCTGTACAACACGGCTGGGAGGACTGACAAGACATCACACCTGACCCAAGGTGAGCACAACAGCACTGATTTCACTCTGGGATAGCAGCTTCACCAAACCCACTGGCCCTGACACACCTCCTCCCCATGCTCAGGGCTTAGCTCTCCACCCCAGAACCCCTCAAGCCCTCACCTCCCAGCCTTCTGACCTCTAGATTTTGTGCCAGTCCACTAGTCTTCCTCCACCTCTTTTGGCACCAGCATCAGATAACACTTCCCTAGGCCACAGCCCCTTGGTGCCAGCCCTCCCCTGAAGGACCTGGCTCCCCATTTATTTAGAGGCTTGCTGGGCATGGTGGTGCACACGCATATGGGGAGGCTGAGGCAGGAGCATCATTGTGAGTTCAAGACCCGCCTGGCCTACAAAGTAAGCTCAAGGCCAGCCTGAACTACATAGTGAGACCTTGTCTCAAAAAAAGACAGAAAAAAAAAACAAAAACAAGAAACAAGAGTCCTGTTCCTGCCAGGCCTAGCCCTGTGACAGGAAGAACCTTTCCAAGTCCCTAGAATTATTACCCCCCTCCCTCCCACTGCACTCAGGATTAAGTCAAAGCCTTTATGGAGACAGTGGGCCATCCGCCTCCCCACCAACACATTCATGCCCCTCTCCAGTAGGCCTCCAAGGAGGATAGCTACTTATGAAGCCATCAGATACGATCACTGTGTACCTAGGGACCTCATGGTTTCTGGCCCTGGCCTGCCCCAGGGACTGTTCACCCCATCCCCACCATATCTCAGGCTTGGGAAGGGGCAAGATTCCTGTCCTGCCTAGCACACTGATTCCCACGTTGGCCCTGGCAAGGGAACTGGTTCCGCCCAGAGGAAGGTGTGCCCCAGGTAAGGCTGGGTGATGCTGACAAGATCGGGCGCTGGCGACCTGGCATGCACTGAGTTTGGAAGGAGACATGTGCCTGAGAATGTTGGGGCTCAGGACCCTTCTGGGCATAGCACAGGAAGCTGTGCTGCCTGGTGCCCCTGCAGTGACACACGAACTGAAGGTAGAAGGTGACAAGAAGCTGGGAAGTAGGGCACTCTCCCCTGTAACCACTCCCTCCCCAGCCCCAGATGTTACCTGTTTGCTGGTTCTAGGAAAAGCTGCCCTGACTACAGGGACGCTCTCCTTCGCACTGGACATGTGAGTTAGAGGCTGCTGACCACGCAGTAGTAGGAACAGGTCCCACAGCCCATCTGGAGTGAACGCTAGCCTGTCGACTTGGACGGGTTCCACTAGCACAGGGTCAGCCATTGACCACAGTTAGGTCTGGTGTTTAGGGGAAGTATCTGGCCATACAGGCCCACACTATCCTGCTATTTGAGAAGGCACCTTCAGCATGGGGAAGATACTGGGACACTGCTGGCCCTTCAATTCCACTGGGGAGTGGAGTCCATATTGTTCAGGCTGTGAGTAACAAGGGGTGGAAGACTGTCCAGTGTGTGGACCTCCATGAGGAGCCTTCCCACAGATACTGCTGCTCAGGAGGGGTCCTGGTCCTGAGTGGCCACCATGGGCAACCTGGCGGCACAGCAGTACCTACCACCTCCAATGACCATACCCCTTGCCTGTTTCCTTTCAAGGGCACACACCCCCTGGACTATGGACAGGGCAGTAGCCACTCCCCAGTCGGCAATGAAGAACCTCAACAGCCTACTTCCCCACATTTGCCTACCTGACTCAGCCAGAGAGAAGCAGGGGCCTATCCCCCCAAGATGAGTGACTCAGCGGGAGTCCTCTGCCGCTGACCTCTGACCTAGAGCCAGATAGTCTCCAGGGCCTGCACCTCCACTTCAAGAACCTGATCTTACCCAGGCAGGAAGTGGGGTTCCTGTGTCCAAAAGGGGCACCCCGTGGGAAGGTTCTGGGATTGCTACACAAAGCAGGGTGACCCTGGCCAAGTACTGAGGCAAGATTAAGAATAAGGAAGGTGGTACCCGGTTAGATGGGGCTCACAGACCAGAAGTCAATCAGTTATAGCTTGAGGGGTGCGCCAGGCCCCATTGTTAGCGCACCCTAGGAAGTTAGCGGCAGCCAGGTCAGGCGTCCCATCTGCCCATCCCAGTCCAGGAACAAGGGACCAAGGGGCCGGGCCCTCTCACCCTCCACCAAGGATCCAGGTGTGGGCCTGGCCACCCCAGTTCGGCGGCCTTGGAGCGGTGTCCCTAGGGAGGGGTCCGGGCCGTGCCGAGCACCCTTCCCAGGCTCTAGCTAGGCCGCAAGGGCGGGCGCAAGTTAGGACTGGGAAGGTTCTACTCGAGCCCCAGGCCATTTTCCCCTTGGCTGCTTTTCGGCCGACGTCGCGCACAGGTGGGGGTCACCCCTCACCTCCCGCCGGGCTCGCGCCCCGCAGACCCGGCCCGGCGCACGCGGCCACACAAACTGCGCCGCCCGGCTCCGGGTCGTGAACCCCAGCCCTGGTGAGGCCGCGCAGGG